AATAGGTTACAAATACCATACCCAGCATTTTCCATTTTTTAAAGATTTGATATCAAGCAATCACATCCCTTTTACATCCACTCAGCCATATACTTTTTTCTTTCCCAGTTTTATATTTGGAACCACAGCAACAGTTTATATTTTCAGAAATATATTTTCACAGACATCAAATGACAATGGTTTTCATGGTGAACCACAAGCACTATTTTAGTACTAATTTCTAGGCAGATGTGAGGCAAATTCTGGTCTCAGGTGCGTAACTTCAATGTTTTTTTGCTTAGCTAAAGTCAGACACATCCAGCCAGTAATGAAGCCAGATGTCTAATGAATGAGGCCACCCAAAAAAGCATTATAAGACTGGCCGTTATCAAAAGGTATTTCTTTAATCCTACCTGTCACATTTTCAGTGTGTTCTCATTATTCTTCTACTTAAATAAAATCTTAGAGGATCATACTGTGAACAGCTATTCATTTATCAGCTAGGTTTGATATTTGCATGTATTTTTCTGGCTTGCCACCTTCCTCTGGGGAAAGTAGCAGCTGAGGGCTGAGCCCTCAGCGCAAGCAAGGACAGCCACCTCTGCAGGACTGTAAAGCTGTCAGTCTGCCCCCCCCCCCTTCTCTGGGGACCTGTGAGACAGGCGGGTACGGAGACACAAGTCACTGGCTCCTGTTTCATCTCAGCTTCACTAGGGCTGGATCTCAGGCTGATGGTGAGGGAGAGTAAAAGCAGTCACCTCCTGGTAGAGGCGATGTTACTGCAGGATGAGCTAAGAGTGAATACATTTCTCACACACCCATAGGAGGGACTTTTAAATATCACCATGATCACTGGACCCTCCCCTCCAACCTAAACCGATGCTCAGAATAAATCAGTCTCTGACTGACAGCATCAAAGATTCAGCTTTTTATCCCTATTACTAGCCCACAACCATGAACTGAGGAGCCCATGGTGTGAGCTGTTTGAAGAGATATTTTGCATTAAAAAAAAAAAAAGGATGAAGGGAAAAAAATGTAGAGATGCAGCCAGCTATGCCAGGGAAAGCAGTTCTCTCTGCTGCCTTGAGCCGGCTGCCTCTTTTGAGGTTCAGCCATGACAGTCAGCCGAAAGCTAAATGAGAAACACATCCGCTAAACGCGGTGGGTCCCCTTGTGGTAGATGGTTTAGATGGAGCGGAGCTCCCTTTATATCAGCTGCCCAGCACGCTGCTCTCCGCCCGGTGGTGAGAGTGCAGGGCTGCCCACCCAAATACTTACCGAGCCACTCTGGCACACAGCGCAGCCCACGCCGCCGCGGTGGCTACAGGCTTTGCCGCGCCGATCAAGGCAGTTTCGCTATCTCTGGCAGAGCTATATCTGGCCAGCAGTCGTGGGCTCTGTCCGTCTGCCTCCGCCACGGCAGCGATCACACGCGGCTGGGGGCTGACACTGCCGCCAACCCTAACAAGTGGAGCATGAGGCTGCCGCCAGGATGGAGCCCTTTTTCTTAAAAACAAGGGCAAAATCGTGCTGATGAGCAAACTGTCCTAACAGGGACTGAGTAAGGCACCGTCAGACGCTCCTCTCCTAAAAGCATACACAGATGTCTCTTACAGACAGGCTGATATTCAAGCACCTTCCAATACCAAGTTGGGAAAAAAAAAAGAAAAAAAAGGATAGTTTGATAAACAACTGTCCCCACTTCATCCTGCTCCCCTGCTCCCAGCAGAGCTGAGAGTGCTGCTATTTGAGATGGGCTGAAACCGCTGGCTTTTGTTCAGAATCTATAGCGTGACAGGCCCCTTCATGGGGCAGAGAAGGTGGTAAGGCTGGAGCCGAGCTTGAATTTCAGACAGAGCTGGAATGCCCCAACAGTCAAGAACATTTAGAGGAATTTGGCCAGGCCCTTTTTGCCTCCGTAATTGATGCCTCTAGCTGTTAGATCTTTTGTTGTTGTTGTTTGGCCAGAAATCCCCCAGAAATGCCTGTTCTTATGAGATTTGTGGCCAGGTTGCCAGAGGCTCCAGTCATTTAGGTGGTGATGGACATACCAAAAGCCAGATATTAAACTCTTCCTGATTGTGCATTGGAAACTGCCCTGAAGTTCATTCCAAAGCAGATTTACGTAGTGTAATGTCAAAATCACATTCAATGCAAGCCTTTTGGAGCCAGCCTAACCTTTAACCTGAAGCTATAGCTTGTCTGCCCTCAGAAAAAAAGGAGCAGACAAAACCATAGCAGATATGAATGTATAAATAAACCAATACAGTTATCAATAGGGCAGAGGAGTAAAATGAGAAATTCCTCTTGCTGCAGCCTCCACAACCTGGTGCTCCTGCAGGGGTGCCTTGTCCTTCTTAACAGCAAACGCAGCCACAAGTGGCCAAGCTGCCAAGAGCTGGTAGGTTCAATGTTTATATCCATGTGCCTCAACCCACACCCCTTTAATCCTTTTCCTTTTTTATGCTGATAATGCACTGACTGTGAGACATGAAAGATCTTTTGGGCTACCTAACCTATCCTTCCCGGGAAAAGGACAGGGCTCTACATTTTGATATCCACTTCAGTCTCTCTGTTGCATTACAAAAGCACCCATTACCACAGCAGCAAAGAGCCAGGTAAAAGTGTTTTGCCTTAGCCCTAGCTTAAACTCAAACCTTTCATTCCTTTGAAGGAGAACATGGTGCACAGTCCGAAGCTTAGCCTTAGCCTCCTTGCTGCCACCAATGTCTTCAGGTGTGTGTAAAAGACAACTCTACTCTGGGCTGCAGCTTCATGGATGAGTGAATGGAAGGGCAAGCTGCCAGGGCACGCAGCACCCACTGCCTGTGCTTTGCGCTGCATTCACTACCGTGTGTCCACATGCTGAGCTGGCTCTGGGAGCTGGCTGAAAATTAACCTTTTTTTTTAATTCCTCAGATTAGTTTTCAGCCAGCTCTGTTCTCTAATCTGGCTCAGCATCCACAGCGGAGATCCATAAATAGGAAGAAAAGGTGGAACAAAAAGGAATAATGGGAAGGTGCAGAGGAGACAAGCCAGCATTTTTCGTCTGCAGGCCCCAACTGCCTGCTAGCATAGTTACCCAACATTATACCTGCCTTCCAGTTGAAGAAAAAGAGGTTGGGGTTTCATGATGGCTTTAAGAGGATGTGCGTGCAGGCTGCCCCTGCACACATTAGGTAGACCTAAAGAGGCAATGGCATTCACCAGCACTATTTTGTGAATGGAGCTCTTCGCAAGGAAGTTTTTCATCTTGCCCTCCAGTTTCCTTACTTCCAGTTGCACTGATTCATTTAACCCCATGCAATCCCTGCCCTTGCCTGGTGGGCTTCAGCCTGGCAGCTGCTGTCCCTCTGTCATTGAGGTCTAAGGATTGTCACGAGTGGTTTGTAAAAGAGAGAGACCAACTGGGAGCCCAGCTGGTCCAGGCCGCTGCAGCACTGCCAGCACAGTGGGATTGCGAAGAGTGGGGGACCTGGGACTGGGAGGAGCGAAGATCAACAGTAGTTCTCCCTCCGACCAGTCCCCCTTTGGCTCCTGGAGATGCTACAGATGGTTGGTGAAGGCCAGGGATGAGCTGGAGGGAATAACTTTGCAGTGGAAGAGCCCAGGGGGAAGGCTGTAAGATGGGGTTTTGGTTAGTTACTTTGCACTGGGAGAAGCCCATGCCAGCACCTTTAGGTTCCTCCCAGGCGGGGATGGCCTTGAGGAGGGTCCCAGGAGGACATCAGGCTGCGGGAGT